ACTGCATATATCCAAAATATTATCATGCTAACATATAACCAATATTTTAAAACTATTAGAGATATTTTACATTTTTTTGTACTAAATCTTCAGAATTTAGCGTGTAAATTATACTTATAGCTCATTTCAATTCAGGCTAGCTACGTTGCAAGTTCTGAAAAGCCACATTTGCTTACTGTATGGGACAGCTGAGGTAATCTCTACCCAGATTATCCTGTTTTATGCATATGATCTGTATTGTCTCTTTTCCTTTATGCCTGGCTACCATGCAGATTTTTCCCACTTAGATAGCAGTGAAATGGAGAAAAGTCTCCATATAGCAGATGCATTTTGTTGTGGCTGCTTGTATATTTATCTCCTCCTCCCTACCTCCAACCATAAGGGACCATCTCATGATTTTACTCGCCTCAGTGTCTTTAATACTTCAATGTGATCACAGTGATAACAAACAACATTTCCCCCGAGGGCTTGCCATGTGCTAAGCACTATGCGATCTGCGTTATACACATTAACTCATTTTCTCATGTTAATTCTCATAACATCCTTGTGAGGTACCTTTACTACTGCCATTTTGCAGATGGGGAAACCTAAGCTTAGAAAGGTTATGGAGGCTGCTCAGGATCAGACAGCTGTAGGGCCTAGAATTGAAGGAATGCAATCTGACTCCAGACTTCCGCTCTTTTATTTTTAAATTGGGAAACATAATACATATGTGGAAAAACGGATAAATAATAAAAATAAATATATAGTCTAACTAATTATTATAAAGCCCACAACAGTGTAACTACTACCCATATCAAGAAACAGAAGATTTGGGGATGCCCAGTTGGTTGTGCCCAACTCCTGATTTTGGCTCAGGTCATAATCTCAGGGTTGTGAAATCGAGCCCTAATATTTAAGATATTAAATATCACCTCTGCCCTAGGTGTGGATCCTGCTTAAGAGTCTCTCTCTCTCCCTCTCCCTGTGCCCCACCACCCTCCATCTCTAAAATAAAAAAAAAATAATAATAAAAGAAACAGAAGATTTTGTAGAATTCCAACCCATTGCTTCTTCCCAGTCTCAATCCCTCTCCATAAAGTTCCTTCTGTCTTAGAGGTAGCCATTAACCTATTTCCTTGCTCTTCTTTACATTTTTAACACCTAGTATGCTTCCTTTTTTTTTTTTTTTAAGATTTATTTATTCATTTGAGAGAGACAGAGAGCTCACGCGCTCGCGCCTGCGGGCTTGCCCAAGTGGGGGGAGGAGCAGAGGGAGAGATGCAGACTCCCCGCTGAGTGTAGAGCCCAAAAGGAACCTGAGATCATGAGCCCAGCGGAAACCAAGAGTTGGGTGTTCAACTACTGAGCCACTCAGGTGCCCCTTAAGTATGCATTCTTTTTTTTTTTTTTAAAGATTTTATTTATTTATTTGAGAGAGAGAATGAGATAGAGAGAGCATGAGAGGGGGGAGGGTCAGAGGG